GACCCCACGTTCTCGAAATACCCATTTAGTTCAAAACAACAAATGACTCTTTATTACTATTCTCTAGCCTTGGTTTAAAGATTAATTCCTTGCTTGAAACGTGATATTCATCCCACATGTAGTGACCTCAAACCTGAACACCTCCTACCCATCCCTCTTCTAATCTTTTCATTCCCAAGAGAGCTGCTGTTACCTCAGGCATATTTGCTTTACTAACAGTCCTGGCTATGATCTTTAACAATGGGACTCTGAAAAAGACAATGGCATGGCTGCCACAGAGCAGATAGATCAATTTGGGGGTCAGAGAGTGGGGGAGAAGGTCAGAGACTCCTGGTGGCCCACATCTCTAGTTAGGGGTGGTGCTGAGTGGACTCTCAATTGACAATGCTCACAACCACAAAACATTACGGTGACTATTAAATTAAAACTTTGATATGGAGATTATTCTGCATTAAGGAAAGGATAGAAGGATATAGCCTACAATATTGATGTAAAAGTGACAGTTCTGATAACTGGCTCAAAACTTTATTACACTGACCCCACGTCATCCATATTGATCATCCATATTGCTGAGCCCTGCAAAGCTTTTGTAAGTTCAGAAGAGTTAGAGGTGTCACCACCACACTCATGCAGGTCTGTAACTTTCTGATCCACCCAAGAGTCCATATAACTATTTTCTCTACCCAAATCAAAATATCTAAGCTTCCATCCATTGGAACTGCAGCAAAGCCCAACCTCCATAAAACTGGGCAGGCACAATGGCCAACAGATGGTCTTGTTGGGGGACAACCCTATGCCAGCACATCCTGTCTTGCTAAATTTACCACCCAAGAAAGCAAGACTTCCCAAAAAGGATTCAAAAAGGAAACTGCAAAATTACTGGCCACCTTGATATGAATTACAGTACAACAAGTAATCCATTTCCACCATGACTAACCTGGTGATGTGTTATGCATGAAGTCCAGACATTAATTGCATGCATGCAAAAAACATTTTATGCATGATGTTTCACTGGTCTGTTTGTACATTACTCATTTAGCTCAGCACAAAAACCCATTAAAGGGTTACTCCACCCCAAAATTAAAATGTTGTCATTAATTACTTATCCTCATGTCGTTCCAAACCCGTAAGGCCTCCGTTCATCTTCGGAACACAAATTAAGATATTTTTGATGCATTCTGAGAGCTCTCAGCCCTTCCCATAGACAGCATGTAAGTAACACTAACAACGTCCAGAAACGTAGCCAGGAGATCGGTAAAATAATCCATGTGACATTAAGGGTTCAACCGTAATTTTACGAAGCTACGGGAATACTTTTTGTATGCAAAAACCGTAGTGCCATTTTGGAGAGCATTCACTGAACGCAAACAGCGTATGCTGTTGTGTGTCAGCCGCGCCACACAGCAACGTATCCGTGTGGTCTCCAAAATGGCGCTACGGTGACACAGAGGAGGCGAATTGTTGCATAAAATCATTATTTTTGTTTTCTTTGCATACAAAAAGTGTTCTCTTGGCTTTGTAAAATTACGGTTGAACCCCTGACGTTGATCATGTTACTTACATTGCTGTCTATAAGAGGGTCAGAGACCTCCCAGAATGCACCAAAAATATCTTAATTTGTGTTCCGAAGATGAACGGAGGTCTTACGGGTTTAGAACGACATGAGGGTGAGTAATTAATGACAGAATTTTCATTTTGGGGTGGAGTAACCCTTTAATACAAGAAAAACACTTAACATTCACAGTCTTGCGAGCTTTGGGTATATACAAAAAGTGTTCTCGTAGCTTTGTAAAATTACGGTTGAACCCCTGACGTTGATCATGTTACTTACATTGCTGTCTATAAGAGGGTCAGAGACCTCCCAGAATGCACCAAAAATATCTTAATTTGTGTTCCGAAGATGAACGGAGGTCTTACGGGTTTAGAACGACATGAGGGTGAGTAATTAATGACAGAATTTTCATTTTGGGGTGGAGTAACCCTTTAATACAAGAAAAACACTTAACATTCACAGTCTTGCGAGCTTTGGGTATATGAGGCCTAGGGCTGGGTATCGTTCAAAAATTTTCGATATCGATACCTATACCTTGACTTCGATACCGGTTCCTGAACGATACTTTTTTCAATACCTATTTGTATAAATCAATTTTAACAAGATTACATTATCTAAAAAAAAAAAAACTT